TTATTGATAACAGACTTATCACCACTAGGCTAGTATATATATATATATATATATATATATATATATTACTGTTCCCTTGGATTCCTAGTGGAACATAGGGTTTCAACTGCACATCTCCACTTACCTCTGTCTTCTGCTGTACTTTTCACCTGCATCCATGTTAGTCCATACTCTTTCAACTCCTCTTTACACGATCTCCTCCATGTCACCCTTGCACTGATGTCCCACATGCCGCTTCCCTTTTGGGTTCCACTCGAGGGCTTGACGTGCGATGTCACCCAGCGGTCTCCTCAGCGAGTGTCCGATCCATCTCCACTTTCTCCTGAATATTTGTTGGTTGGCGATTGGTTTTTGTGTTGGTTCTGTTCCCATAGTTTCTTGTTGGTGATTCTTTCCGGCCCGGCCATCTGATCTTCAGTATAGATCCAGCGAAGACAGTACAGTTGTTGATGAAGGTCTGCAACAGGCTGTTGGAAATATTCTTTGTGACCCGCCCGCCAAGTTTCTGATCCGTATAGAAAGAAGAACTGACTGACTTGACGTTTGTATTGAAAATCCGACTGAATTCTGTTGTTGATTCTGGCTGAGTGACGAAGATTTCCAGATTGGTTTCAGGTTGATTGATGAATGTGTTTCTCGCCTTCCCGATTCTCGCTCGATTTGACATCCTCGTCCGTTCCGGCTTCCTGTAGTTGAGACAATGCTCCTTAGATAAGTGAGTGAATGAAGTATATATATATATATATAAGAGTAGAGCCATGTCTGAGGATCTCATTAAAAAGTAAATAATTCTTTTTTTGCTCAATCCTTTTGTTTTCTAAAGGAAATACAGTGACGTAATACAACACCACAGGAACATACTGACAAGAACCAGCATAAAAGACGATATCATCCTTTCTCAAGCATATTGTGTGATCAATCATTACTCACGGCTGTGAGCTGACTTTATTGTGGTAAAAACTGTTTAAAATATCATGTGGGGTTTTCCTAATAAATGTACAGTATCTTACAGTCGCACATTGATCTTCGTCTTTTTGAATCGAAAGGTACAACGGATAAATAGGCGTATTAGCGTACCAGTCGAGTTCATTACGGTTATAACAATTAGAGGCATAGACACAACGGATATATATACGAACCTTGTGTTAGACAGTGAATAACGAAAGAACCAACATATTTGCGGGATAATACCAGCTCATTTTATTTCGTAGAATGGTAAGATGAGGGTTGAATGAGTATAGAAGATGAAAAGAGAGTGAGTGCATCCGATCCACTGGTTTTTAGAATCCTTACGACCCCAAGCAGATAGTCTACACCTTCCTACATGGCTGGCTCAAGCCAACAGTTCAAGACTTCATATATTTGTGCCAGATTTTGATTAGACCACGCCTTTCCCTTCTTCAACTCGACCCTTTTGTCAGCTGACATTGCATAATGAGGAAGGCGGTGCCTCAACATCCATAAAGTGTCATAACTATCTCAGTTCATATAACATCATCGATTGGTATGGTTTCATTACCTAGCGCTCCACGCCCAAACTTAATATTGCCCATTATATTATATCATTTAACATGAGAGATAAAATGTAAACATCTGTTGTCCCAGGCAACTAGCCCCTTCAAGTCTTTCAATTCCAATAGTCATTTCTGACAGTAATAAGGGAGGACAGAGCAAATCGATATGATATGAAATGAGGACAACCATGAGCACACCGAGGGAGTGGCCATCATGATGTCACCAACAGCAGCCAAAGCTCTCATGCAGTGGGAACCAATCTCCTCCAGGATAATGACAGCCAGGTTCAACTCAAAAGGAAGCAAAGTTACAGTCATTCAATTTTTTTTTTGATTTTGATTTTTTTTGATTTACAGCTTGATTCCACACCGTATTTTTGGTACAAGTATGGAATTTTCAGCATGGATATCGGTAGCCCAAATTTCGCAGGCCGACTATAGATATCAGGTGTGCGCCGGCGTGGGCTCGAACGCCGGACCATGTTCATGGTCGGCGAGAGTCCTAACCACTGTGCCACCGACGCACCGACGCCTACAAACGTCTCAGAACAAGAGAAGAAGGAGGCGTTCTACAGACAACTACAAGCAATAATGGACAACGTCCCAAATGGCGATATCAAAATCCTGATGGGCGACATGAATGCGAAGCTGGGAGGAGACAACACAGGAAGAGAACTCACCATGGGTCGTGAGGCCCTCGGCAAAATGAACGACAATGGTGAACTCTCCTCAGACTTCTGCGCCTTCAATGATTCGGTGATTAGTGGTAGTGTGTTCAAACACAAGGATATACACAAGACGACATGGATTTCACCAGATGGAAACACCAAGAACCAAATAGACTTCATCTCAATCTCAAGAAGGTGGAGACAGAGCCTACTGGACACAAGGTCAAGCAGAGGAGCAGATGTGGGTTCAGATCACTATCTAGTACAAGGGACTTTCAATGTGAAACTAAAAGCTTCGAGGATAGCTGGGGATAGGACACAATGCAAGTTCAACACTCAATTACTGAAGGACACAACCACAAAAGACACTTTCACTGCAACCGTCACAGCAAAGCAGGAAACACTACGCGACATCACTGAAGAATCATGCGTGAAAGAACATTGGAAGTCTCTGAAGGCGATTCTCAACGAAACGTGTTCAACGGTTCTAGGAAGAAAGAAGAGACAAGACAAGGAATGGCTCTCAACGGACACTTGGAAATTAATAGAAGACAGGAGAATGGTGAAAGGGAAAATGATTCAATGCAAGGACGGAGAAGAGAAAGAGACGCTGAGTTCAACTTACACAGAACTGGACAGAGACGTGAAGAAGAGTGCTAGGAAAGACAAAAGACAATTCTACGACAACCTGGCCACTGAAGCTGAGAAGGCAGCCGGTAAAAACGGACCTGTGGACACCAAATCAGATAACCAAATCTCTATCCGGGAAGAGATCAACACAAGCGAAACCTATGAAAGACAGCCAAGGGAACCCAATCACCAAGGAAGAAAGACAGACGAAACAATGGGTGGATCACTTCAAAGAACTCTTGAACCGACCATCACCTGCAACCCGTTCAGAAATACCAACAACAGAGCATACAACTGCAACTTGTCACCAATCCCCCAACGAGAGCCGAAGTCTTGAATGCAATCAAGCTTCTGAAAGCTGGAAAAGCAGCTAGACTCCCTGAAGCACTGAAAGCGGACGCAGAGACTACATCAGACATGCGGACTCCATTATTGCAAAAGGTCTGGAAGGAGAGAAAGGTGCCTACTGACCGGAGGAAAGGTTACCTCGTGAAACTACCAAAGAAGGGCAACTTAGGTTTCTGCAAGAACTGGAGAGGAATCATGCTCCTATCGACGCCAAGTAAAATCCTGAGTCGCATCCTCCTGGAGAGAATAAAGGACGCACTGGAGACAGAACTCCGACCAGAACAAGCTGGATTCAGGAAAGGCAAATCATGTACTGACCAAATTGCAACTCTACGCATCATCATCACAGAACAAAGCATGGAATGGCGATCAAACCTCTACCTCAACTTTATAGACTTTGAAAAGGCCTTCGACAGCGTTGACGTGAAGTAATTTGGAAATTACTCGAGTACTACGGCGTACTGCCCAAATATTCATCAACCTTATTCAACAGCTGTACGACAACGGCACATGTCAAGTCATCCACAACGGAAAACTCAGCAAGGCGTTTGGAGTAAACACAGGAGTCAGACAAAGGTGCTTACTATCACCAATGATATTCCTAATTGTGGTGGATTGACTGAATTATGCGTCAGACAGTGGGAAACGAGAAGACAGGAATATCCTGGACCGACCGACGTGAAGAACCTAGAAGACCTGGATTTCACGCGTGAATTATTTATGTTTGATGTCACACAAATCGAAGACTTACAAGCGAAAACCGACAAACTGGTCGAAGAAGCAGCCGGCGAAGACAGGACTCCATGTGAACATAGACAAGACGGAGGTTATGAAAATAACCAACCAACAGCAACATCCAGCGTCAATCACAGTCAACGGGAGGAATTTGAAAGAGGTTACTTCATTCACTCACTTATCTAAGGAGCATTGTCTCAACTACAGGAAGTCGGAACGGACGAGGATGTCAAATCGAGCGAGAATCGGGAAGGCGAGAAACACATTCATCAATCAACCTGAAACCAATCTGGAAATCTTCGTCACTCAGCCAGAATCAACAACAGAATTCAGTCGGATTTTCAATACAAACGTCAAGTCAGTCAGTTCTTCTATACGGATCAGAAACTTGGCGGGCGGGTCACAAAGAGTATTTCCAACAGCCTGTTGCAGACCTTCATCAACAACTGTACTGTCTTCGCTGGATCTATACTGAAGATCAGATGGCCGGGCCGGAAAGAATCACCAACAAGAAACTATGGGAACAAACCAACACAAAAACCAATCGCCAACCAACAAATATTCAGGAGAAAGTGGAGATGGATCGGACACTCGCTGAGGAGACCGCTGGGTGACATCGCACGTCAAGCCCTCGAGTGGAACCCAAAAGGGAAGCGGCATGTGGGACATCAGTGCAAGGGTGACATGGAGGAGATCGTGTAAAGAGGAGTTGAAAGAGTATGGACTAACATGGATGCAGGTGAAAAGTACAGCAGAAGACAGAGGTAAGTGGAGATGTGCAGTTGAAACCCTATGTTCCACTAGAAACCCAAGGGAGCAATAATAATAATAAGCCATTGATGAGACTGAAAAAGCGGGCCGATTTGAACATGAGGCTAGGCAACCCCATCCCATAAAAATAAACTACCCATACTGCTAGTGAAACTTCAGCTCAAAACTACGACAAAACAGCAGTCCAGTACTCCCAGCTTGTTTTCCAATGGTTCTCTAACTAATGTCAGCTCATCATAATGAAATCCTGTAACCAATCAACCAAATCCCTAACAAAGCAACACTTGAATATCAGCTCAAAAAGCCTGAAGCTCCCGCCCCCCCCCCCGCGTATGTTCCACTCAAAACGCAAAGGAATAAATAGGGGGAAAACAACCCGTTGAGTTTTATTACCTATCATCCCCGGAATAAAATAAATACTATTTGCATATATTTCAATTAGTATTGCTATGATTAATACTAGCAAAAGTAATCACAATGATGGTGATGATAGTAATAATAATAAAATAAAGATAATGACACCTTATAATGTGACAGTGATAATAATGAATTTGTGCAATTATAAAATACGACATTATACATGTCCACAAAAAAAAGAAGACAACCTTAAAAAGAAAGGGAACTAAGCACTTGTAAAAGAATAACTTGCAAAATAAGGTCAATGTGAAGAACAATGAGTATCAAGGTGGGAGACAATAAGTTGGACAATCTGTCCATCACATTTCCAAAAGATATACATAAAAAATAAACAGAAATAAAGAAAGAAAAATAAAAAAATAACAGCCCAATTATTTATTTATTCACTTCGTACAGAAGACAGACAAAGTGTTTTCAAATGAATTTCAGCGCAGTACATATATATATATATATATATATGCATTGACAAAAGTAAAGTGCCATCAAAAAATTGGTGTTAAAAATCAATAAAATAAAGAAATATCACAGAAATCCGATGTGGATGTGAATGTGGATGGAGTACAATGTGGACCAAATTAATTATCTTTGTAGCCAGCCAAGAGAAGGAAGAAAATAGTGTCATCTAGAAAGAGAGAAATCAAAAGGAAAAATTAAACAAACGAGATGAATAACAAAACAGTTCTGGTAATACAGACATGCAAACAATCCGTGTGTGTGTGTGTTTCAAGTTTGATCACAGACTGATATCAGTTAGAATAGCACTGAACATTGAACAACAGTGTTTTGTCCCACATTTTGAGACTCTCTTCATCAATACGCACCACCTATGATCCAACCGCTATGGATTTTTAGTGGTATAATGGGGTGAGCAATATTGAGGTTAGGCGTCAGTCGAGTGATAAGTAAGGAGGGGAAATCAATCGACACGGCTGTGAAGCTACATCGACTGAGATAGTGAGAACATGTGTTACGCATGCATCCCTTGCCTGGCCATCGCCTTCCTCGATAACGGGCAATGTTAGTTGACATAGGATCAGGTTGGAATAGAGCCAGTGGTGGTCAAACCAAAACATGGCTTCACCAGTCAATCAAATCCACAACAGCCAGCCACTTAGGAAGATGTAGACTTCCTGACTGGTTGGGGTCCTCAGGAAGATAAACACCAATGAAGGCTGGACACAATCGGTGACACGGCTTGAAAATCGTTGTCATCATTGAAGGCTGGCGCCGATGCATCCACTCCTTGTGACTTATAATACCCAATAAAACTATATTGTTCTTCTACATTACTATTCTTTTCGCCTTATATCTCTGTTTTCTGCCTCTATTTTGCATCTCACTTTACTTTTTTCTCTTGCTTTGTGCGCTACATGGAGGGAGTGTGGCGACTTGAACTGCTGTACATCGGTGCAAAGTTCCGTGTTGAAACCAACCAGCCAGGGATCTTCAACAAGGTTACCAGGCGAGCTAGCTGACTGTTCATTCAACCACTGGGTTAGAAATCCAAAGACGACCGATTGATCCTAACTTTTGCCAATTCAACTGATATCAATCTGTGATTAAACTTGAAACTATTCAAATCATTACACACTAATACTTTGAAAAGTGACATGTATATTAAAGTACCTTAACATTTCATTTAACTTGCCTTGCTATCATTAAGTTGGTTTTCTTAAGCAATTATAGATGTGACCCGTTAACTTATTCCATTGACCGTAAAAATGCGTTATGACTTCTGATCATTTCACTTCATCCACTTTGACCTGAATGACGGCATGTATACAAATTTCGCTTCAGTATCTACTACGCGATAGGTGAACTTTATTATTGTTACATTGTTTGTGTACGAAATAATTACTATACAGCTCGATTACCAAATCATCATTCCCATTTTCACTGATGACCAGTTTGGAAAAAAGGACTGAACTACACTGACTCCTAGTTTAGAAATAGGGAGTGAAGTGGTAGGGCACGTTGACCGCTCTACTTATTTGGGAAGTACCATCAGCCAGCGCCAACGGGTTGATCTCTGACGAAATCTCAGCACGGATACAGAGGGCTAGTTTCGCATATGCCGGTTTACGCCCTCTCTGGCTAAGTAGACGTGGTATCCGATTATAGAACAAAAAGCAGGTGTACTGCTCATCAGTCCGCTCCGTCCTCCTTTATGGCTGGCTGTGAGACCTGACCACTGACAGTGGAAGACATGAAAAAGTCGGCTACCTGTCATTGACCTTAGGTGCCTCCGCTCTATCTCCCGTGTGAAGTACTATGTGTAATAGGGTGAGCAATATTGAGGTTAGGCATCGGTCGAGTGCTAGGTAAGGAGGGGGAATCAATCGACGAGGTTGTGAAATTACATCGACTGAGATGGTTAGGACATGCGTTACGCATGCATGCCTAGTCATCGCCTCCCTCGACAATGGGCAATGTTAGCTGGCATAGGGTATAGGGTCAGCCTGGAAAAGAGCTACCGGAGGTCAAACCATAACATGGCTTCATCAGTCAATGAAATCTACAGCAGTTAGTCTAAGCTACGTGGGAAGGTGTAGACTTCCTGACTGGTTGAGGTCCTCGGGACGGTAAAATCCAATGGCTGGAGACAATTGGTGACATGGCTCATAATCCTCGTTCTTAGTGATGGCTGGCGCAGATGCATCCACTCCTCGTGACTTATAATTTCCAATGAAACTATGTTGCTCTTCATTACTACTATTCCTTTGTCTCACACCTCTGTTTACTGTCTCTGTTTTGGCATTCCTTCTTACTTTCTTCTCTTACTTTGTGTGCTACAAGGAAGGAGTGAGGCGACTTGAACTGCCGCAAATCGGTGCAAAGTTCTATACCGAAAAAAGACAGACAGATGACCAGTCTTACCATACAACTAACTGATCGACTAAGTTGCAACATAGGACAGGATACAGAAGCACGGAAGTTGTTCCGCTCTCTGTGTAGCACACAAAAGTAGAGAAAGCAGATATTACAAAGAACTACAATGAGAAGAAATATGCGGGAGAAAACAAAGTAACACGCAGAAACTCAATATATCTGAAACACTATAGAGAGTGAATGCATCCGCGTTATTGTCAACGGTTTTCAGCTATATAACCAACAGTCTTATACCGTTGGTTCTCTGCATCCCGAGAACCCCACAGCCAGGTAAGCAACACCATTTGACGTGGTTCAAATCAACAGTTAGCGACTTCCTGGATTGATGTTATGTTTTGATTCAAACACTCGTAACACTCTTTCTTAACCTAATCCTATGTGAACTAACATCGCTCCGCGAGAAATGTGGTGGATCAGTATGTGCAAAACGCGTTTTACCCATTTCAATCTATGTAGTTTTACAGCTTCACTTACCATAGAAACAAGAAATACATATAAACAAAATAATTGAGCAAAGAATATCCTTTTCGATAATTTTCTCTTAGGGTTCTACAATTATATATACAACTTTATATACATAGAATATGCTAGAATGTCTGTCTTTTTTCGGTATAGAACTTTGCACCGATTTGCGGCAGTTCAAGTCGCCTCACTCCTTCCTTGTAGCACACAAAGTAAGAGAAGAAAGTAAGAAGGAATGCCAAAACAGAGACAGTAAACAGAGGTGTGAGACAAAGGAATAGTAGTAATGAAGAGCAACATAGTTTCATTGGAAATTATAAGTCACGAGGAGTGGATGCATCTGCGCCAGCCATCACTAAGAACGAGGATTATGAGCCATGTCACCAATTGTCTCCAGCCATTGGATTTTACCGTCCCGAGGACCTCAACCAGTCGGGAAGTCTACACCTTCCCACGTAGCTTAGACTAACTGCTGTAGATTTCATTGACTGATGAAGCCATGTTATGGTTTGACCTCCGGTAGCTCTTTTCCAGGCTGACCCTATACCCTATGCCAGCTAACATTGCCCATTGTCGAGGGAGGCGATGACTAGGCATGCATGCGTAACGCATGTCCTAACCATCTCAGTCGATGTAATTTCACAACCTCGTCGATTGATTCCCCCTCCTTACCTAGCACTCGACCGATGCCTAACCTCAATATTGCTCACCCTATTACACATAGTACTTCACACGGGAGATAGAGCGGAGGCACCTATGATCAAAGACAACTAATCTTTTCATGTCTTTCACTCTCAATGACCAGGTCTCGCTCACAGCCATAAAGGAGAACAGAACGGACTGATGAGCAGTACAGCCGCCCTTTAGTCATGAATAAAATGGTAGTCAATAGTCAAACACGAATATTGTGTTTTTTAAATAATATCGATTTGTAAAGTAAAATCTCGATGGAATTACAGTTTATTAAAGATGCTTAAATTATTATAATAATGAAGATATAATAGCAAATAGAATATCAACTAGAATTAGGAAAATTCCACAAAATTCAGGATCATTCAAACCTAGATGGCCAAGGTAAGAATAATATCTGAGCTAACTTCTTTTGGATGCACAAATTGGGCTTCTTAATATGGATCCCAAAAGCCAGCCTCAGCAATATTTAGTAGTCGAACTCTTAAGGCAAAATTAAGATTCGTTGGTATGCAGTAAATGACCCTGAAAGAATGATTAACGTCAATCTTGTGTTCTGTATCCACAAGATGATATAGAATAGCGCTACGAATAGATTTTGTTTGTCCTTTGCTTAACCACTATTCAGGATGACGTTTGGAAATTCGACGAGAAACACGCCTAATTGTACGGCCTATGTAGAGCCCGAAAGAGGAATTTATCCAAAAGGATATTCTTTGCTCAATTATTTTGTGTTTTATAGATGTCTGAAAAAATACATACGCAACGCGCCTAATGCTAGCTGAAGCTTCGTATAGCATCTGATTTAGTTATTGCTTAGCTATATTGAGATTAAAAGAGTCATATAGTTGGGCTTTGCTAGTACATCGTAACCAGTCGACCTTAAACTAGTTATTTACTGGTCATGTGCAATAACAACTATAAAAATAGTTGCAATTTCTGGTCATAGTGCTTTTCCTACTAAACAACAGATCTTTGCAAACTGAAGCTTACGTTCCAAGAAAACGGTTATCCGGAGAACATGTTGAGATCTACAGAAAGGTTAGTAATGGGTACCATAAAAAAGAAAAGCTCTCTCAGATGAAGTTGTGCTACAAATGTTGACTGAACCAATCGGGTTAAGCGAATATACACTACAACTAAACTGGTACTCAGCTCAACTCAACCACATCAGTACTCATACAGTGCATCGAGGATAGGTCACTCATAATGGCCTGTCTTATCAGTGTGTATCTATAAATTAAACTGCTCCACCAGAGCCAGTCACATAAGTCACACACTCGGACAAATTTATTCCATTTACGATCTCGTGAACATCTGCTAGTTTAACTTGGAGAAGGAGTAAAGAAGGATATAAATAAACAGTGCCATCACTTTTATAATTTAATTTTATTATAGCTTGACTTCCGACAGTATTTTGATACCAGCATACAATTTTCAGCATGTGATATCAGTAGTCCAAATTTTTCAGGTCGACCATTCCAATCGGGTGTGGGTCGGCCGAAACTCGAACCCCAGACTAAATGCGCGGTCGGTGGGCATCTGAACTGCTGTGACATTTCCACAAAGAGCGGAAACATA